ATATATATATATATATATATAGCCCCCACCATTCAGACACATGGCATTCTCATTTTTTTGGAATTCTGGACACATGGCAGTTTTTGAGAAGTTGTTGTTAAAGTCTACAACCCACTACCACCATTCAGACAAGTGGCTTTCTCATTTTCTGAAAAACTAGACAAGTGGCAATTTCTGATAAATTCTTGCTAAAGCCCACAACCCCCCACCATTTAAACATGTGGCCTTCTCATTTTTCTAAAAAGCTAGACACATGGCATTTTTTGAGAAGTTGTTGTTAAAACCCACAACCCACTACCACCATTCAGACATGTGGCATCCTATTAATTCAAGAAATAGGATTTAAAAAATGGGTAGTTTCACTCCTAAACATTCTCAATAAACATTTTCAAAAACAGTTATTTGTTTTTAAATATTTTTTTTCTAAAAAGAAAATACTTTATTAATTACAAACTTGATTTAACTTTTAGGAAGTAACCTAATTTAACTTTTAAAAATAAATAACTCGAAATAGATTTATTAGATAAATAATAAATACCAAATAAAATAGGTTATTGTTTACAAATAAGATCTCATTTAATATTTTAAATCAAATTAAAAAAACATAAATTAATAATGGTTTTCAAATAAAATAAGTTAAAATAAATTATCAATTACAAAGATGCATGACCCTAGTTGGTTCATGAATCACAATTGAGATGTTTATGATGATATGCGACTACAGTGTCTTGTGGGTGGTGTAGATTTGAACTTGCCAACTGGTTCAATTAATAAGGTCTCTGGCTGTTTGTATCGGAGACTTGGAATGTAATCCCACATTAGGTTTGGGGGAATGGAACCAAAACAAGGAAAAAAAATCCCAACCATATTCAACCTGAAGAGGGTCCCTAACCCTAAGCATGAATGAGCTTCTGGTTAATCTCTTATTATATGGTTGATGGCTCTTCCATTTTTAATGTCTCTCTTTTCTTATGAAGCTTCTTGACACCACTCTATTTAGGGCCGATTGTCCTATCATATTTGACCTGAGTAGGGTCCCTAAGCATGAATAGGTGCTTTTCTTTTGGCCTCTCTCTCTGTGTTCGCATTTCTGTATAAAGCTTATTGAGAC